GGTAGCTGGGATTGCTGGATCATGGTGACAGGTACCCCACTACCCAATTTTAATGTGAACTAGTAGAGAAAGAATATTTGTTATATATGCTGTTTAAGTAGTGATTGATTTTTCACAACATTTTAGAGATTTTTCCCTGTATATTGTTATGTATGTATTTTACATCTGCTTTTCTTGCTATTCAAAGATGCCCTTGCCACTCTTTTTGGCAGTCCAAAAATATTACCCAAACTGAAATATTTTTAAAATCTTTTAGGTGCCGGGCGGTGGTGGCGCACGCCTTTAATCCCAGCACCCGGGAGGCAGAGGCAGGCGGATCGCTGTGAGTTCGAGGCCGGGCTGGACCGATAGCCTCCGAAACAATACAGAGAAACCCTGTCTCGTAAAACCAAAAAAAAAAAATCTTTTAGGTTATTGCTTGCTAAGCTTTGGAGACTGAGTGTAGATATAAAAATGATAAGGTTTTAATCTGTTCTGTTTGGTGTGTAGATTTTGTGAAAGTCTGTGGGCTCCTCCCTTCCTTACACAAGACTTCATGTAGTGCACACTCACCATAAGCTCTCTATGCAGCACAAGAGGACCTTGCAGGCTTGATTATCCTGCCTCTGCCTCCTAAGTGCTGGGTGACAAGTGGCCTCTCATTTTGTTGGGTTTTTGAGAAAGAGTCTTACTATGTTGCCCAGACTGTCCTCAAACTCTGGTTATCTCCATGCTTTATCCTCCTGAGTCCTGAAGTTACAGGTCGTCCAATCTTGAGCTACCAGACCCCACTGATGGCCAAGTTTTTAATCAAGGTGTCACAGAGGAAGTATGGCAGTGACCTCCAGTCTAGCCAAAGACACTTAACCATTGCACTCTGGAGCTTTACTGTAGTTACTTAATTTGGGAATTTCTTGTTAATCAACAGTAAAGCAAATACACTTAAAAAAGAATTTAGCCAGACAGTGGTGGTTTAAGCCTTTGATTTCAGCACTGTGGAGACAGATGCAGGTGGATCTCTGAGTTGGAGGATAGCAAGAGCTACAAAGAGAAACCCTGTCTCAAAAATTATATATATATACTTATTTAAAATTATGTGCATATATGTACATGCATATGCAAGTGCCCATGGAGATCAGGAGAAATTATCATCTCTAGGAGCTGTAGTTACACGTGGTTGATAGTCACCAGGTTTAGGAGGTAAAAATAGAACTCCAGTCCTCTGGAAGAACAAGAAGTGCTCTTAACTTGAGCTATTGTGCTAGCCTAACAGATGCACTATTAACAGTTATTCTGCAGATGATGATGATGGTTATGATTATTGTTGTTGTTTGCTGCAGCTTTGGGCAGTGAAACATGGCCCACCAAACTCAACAAATCCACATGGAGTTTATTGGGTTAGCAGGAGCAAAAATGGAAAGAGAGAGAACAGACAGGAGGTGCTTCCTCATAAATGGAAAGGGAGTGGTTTAGAACGATGCTCAGCAGTTTAGGATCTTGAAAATGGAGTCATGGAGCTGCCTTTGGCCCTTATGCAGCCATGCAAACTTTGACAGCCTTTGGGTGAGGGAAGGTCACCTGGAGAAGATCAGATAAGATTTATCCCAGGACTGGGAGGGAACCCGAGGATTAGAGGCCCCAAGACCAGGAAAGACTCCCTAAGGAGAAGGCACAGGCCCTGGAGAGGACTGGTATGGAGTGACAGGCAGGTGCTCAGGAGAAACCACCTGGGTGAGAGAAGGAGAGGAGTCAGGAGCTGGAACAAGGCCAAGTTGCCCAGGACCTGGGTAGAGGGAGAAACCAGGAGATCAGTACTACCTTTTCTGTGTGCTATAATTTCCTTTGTTACTTACAAAATATTTGCATTATAAAAAGTTATAAAGGACACTAATTGTGGGTGTGGTAGCGCAGGCCTTTACTCCCAGCACTGGGGAGGCAGAGGCAGTTCTCGGACTTTGAGATCAGCTTGGTCTACAGAATAACTTCCAGTACAGCCTGGGATTCACAGAGAAACCCTGTCTTAAAAAGCACAAAAGGCCACTGCAACAAACATGTTTTTAGTTATCACTCAAAAATGATAAATAAAACATTTTGGCCGGGCATTGGTGGTGCACGCCTTTAATCCCAGCACTCTGGAGGCAGAGGCAGGCAGATTTCTGTGAGTTTGAGGCCAGCCTGATATACAGAGTTCCAGGACAGCCTCCAAAACAATACAGAGAAACCCTGTCTCAAAAAACCAAAAAAAAAAAAGATAAATAAATATAATAAAGCATCTTGTATGTCCTTGTTGTCATCCTACACTTCAAGCCTTAAGAATTTTCTTGTACATTTTTTACGAGTGAAAAATGTCTACTTTTTGTCTGTCATGTACAATAATTTTGGGATAGGTTTTTCTTTTTCCTGTCTGGTTAGGCTTATCCCTGTCAAGAAGTATTTCTGGTACAAATCTGTGATTAAACTTTAATAAGAAACATATGAGGCTTTCTCAGGCTGTTGGGTATTAGATTAAACTTGTCTGGAATCTGTGTTTGGTGGCAAGGTCTCACTACATATCTTTCTGTCTAGCCTCAAACTAAATTGGCTGTGTAGGCTGGATTTGAACTCTAATGCTGTCCTGCCTCAGCCTCCTGAGTTACAGTGTACATGTGTAAGCCACCATGCATGTTTTCGATGTTGTTGTTTCTGTTATCCAAGGAATTATTGCTAAAGTCAACATTGTCAGGCTTTTTATTCCTTGTTTTTCTTAGTTTAACAGTGTTAGGTCTTAGGTACAAGTCTTTGGTCCACTTTGAGTTTCTTTTTTCTTAGGTGAACATTCAACTTCATTATTCAGTGTGTAAATACCCACTTTCCCTGGCACCATTTGTTAAAAAGACTTGGATTTTGCACACTTACCTAAAATCATATGCCATATATGAGAGGGTTTGTTAGTGGCCATCTGTTCCACTGGTCTATGTATGTCTGTCTGTCTATGTCAGTTCCATGTAGTTTCGATTACTGTGAGTCTTACAGGTTTGTTGGGTTTTTGTTTGCCATAACTGGTTTCAATAATGTCTTATAATTTTCATTTTTAAAAATCTTTTAACTGCCTAAGTTAATTTATTCTTAATGTTATTTTAAATTGAATTAATTTTGCAATTTTCATTTAGACTGTTTACTGCTAGTATGTGTAAGTGTAATTGTTTTTTACATGCTAATTTTAAACTTCATTATATGTGTATATGACGTGTATGCCAGTAACATGCTGATTATCCTACTTTATTACATCTCTACCAGATAAATTAAAATACTGTTTTGAATACATACATGAGGTAGTTAATGTTTCTTATATACTCTTAAGCATTTTAAGATTAACATTTTTAAATGGTGTTGACAAAACAGTACACATTGGGTACAGTATATGATCTGCCCTTGGACATGTACTCAGGAGGCAGACACATGAGGATCATTAAGTTCAAATGTATCCCTCAATCGTTACTGAAATCCAAGTCAAACTGAATAACAAACAACGAAATCTCAAGGAAATTTCTGAAAATATGAAAAACAAAACCAGGAACAACAACCCACCACCCTTTCTCAGACACACTTAATTTACTTCCTTACTTCAAGGCTACCAGGAAAAAGAAATGGAATGAGATTTCTTTCTTTGAACCTGAAGACAACTGTGATGTCTAAAGTCTTTACCAAATCATTGCATGTATAGGGTTTTTCTCTTGTATGAGTTTGTCCCTATTTTCTGACTCCAAAATGGTATAAATAGGCTTTAAGATATTTATAGTGCCAGAGACATGGATGGGCAGTTAAGATATGTTCATGTCAAAAGTCAAGTTATACCTACAGCTGTGAAGGAAGGGCACCTACAGCTATTAAGAGAAAGGTACTATGTTGGAAAGTCAGGCTATACCTGAAGCTGTGGAGGCAAGTTATCCTAGATACCTACAGCTCTGAAGAGAAAGGTACCATGACTGTCAGAAGTCAGGCAATATCTACAGCAGTGATGGGAAGGTATCCTGGTTACCTACAGCTGGGAGAAAGGAATCCTGATTGTATGGAAGTCAGGTTATACCAGACTATGGAGGGAAGGTATCCTGGATACCCAGCATTCTGAAGAAAAATGTATCAAGACTGTCAAAAATCAGGATATACCAACAGCTGTTAAGGGAAGGTATTCTGGGCTTCGATACACTCTGCAGTTTCCCAGAAGTGTCCTTTGCATCTCTGTTCTACTACACTAGAGTTTCCCAAGAAAGTTCTCAGCTACAGCCCAAATTGGTACTCTGCTTCACTCAACTAATGGGGAAGCCACTACACAAAGGTAGCAGTCTGTTCTGGCTCCAGCAAAAAGTTGTTACCTCTGCTTCACTCCCTAAGGGAGTTTCCCAGCAGAGGTGTTTATTTCTCTGCTCCACTCCACTATGGAGTTTCTGCTCCAGTCTGGTGAAAGAAAAGTCTTCACCCCAGACTCTCATTCAAGAAATTAATTTGGGATGGAGGAATCAGTTTGTCAAGGGTAGAATGTGTTTCTTTGGTTCTGGTTTTAAGGCTGAAGTGTGTGTCTCTCAGTGGTCCTTTTTAACTTCTTGGATCTGGTTTCAGAGCCAGGGTGTTTCTTTCATTGGCTCTGGATTCAGGAACAAAGTGTGTTTCTTTGGCTCTAGTTTCAGGGTCAGGGTGTGTTTCTTTGGTTGTGGCTTCAGGGCCAAAGTGTGTGTCCTTCACTTGCTCTGATTTCAGGGTCAGTGTGTTTTCTTTGATTGGCACTTTTACCCTACACATAGGGATTCATAAATTCATGAGCTCATTTTCCCCAAGAGTTTGCTGGTGCAAATGGTGTAAAAACAGTCATCATAATGCTTGAATAGATTGCTGACACTGTCAAATTCCTTTCTATAGAATAAACACTCTTGTTTAACTGAATGTAAGTGTGTTGGCAAAAGATCTTTCCAAATTCTTTATAAGGAGCCCTCAGCATCTTTTTCAAGTACTCAAAGACTAATGTAATATGCAAAGGCATTAGCAGATTGATTTCACGCAAAAAGTTTTACTCATGTATAAAGCATAAAACTTTAACACACAGATTACATTTATATAGTTTCTCTGCAGGGTGATACTGACACATGCAAACACTTTACACAGTGATACATTCAGTGTTTCTCTCATTTATGTGTTCTTTTATGACACTGAATATGTTGTGATATGCAAAGGCTTTACCACACTGATTACATTCATAAGGTTTCTCTCCAGTGCGGGTTCTTTTATGTAGCTGGTCACTACTATGATGTGTCCTTTTATGCATTTGCTGGTGACTGGGGCATACAAAGGCTTTACCACACTGATTACATTCTTAGGGTTTCTCTCCAGTGTGTGTCATTTCGTGCCTTTGCAGGTGACCACGTTGTGCAAAGACTTTACCACACTGGTTACATTCATAGGGTTTCTCTCCAGTATGTGTTCTTTCATGCATTTGCAGAAGACTAGAACGTGCAAAGGCTTTACCACACTGATTACATACATAGGGTTTCTCTCCAGTATGTGTCATTTCATGCATTTGCAGATGACTACGTTGTGCAAAGGCTTTACCACACTGATTGCATTCATAGGGTTTCTCTCCAGTATGTGTTCTTTCATGTATTTGCAGGTAACTATGCTGTGTAAAGCCTTTACCACACTGTTTGCATTCATAGGGTTTCTCCCCAGTATGAGTTATTTTATGCCTTTGAAGAGTAATGTGATATGCAAAGACTTTGCCACACTGATTACACTCATAGGGTTTCTCTCCAGTATGAGTTATTTTATGCCTTTGAAGAGTAATGTGAAGTCCAAAGGCTTTACCACACTGATTACATTTATAGGGTTTCTCTCCAGTATGTGTCATCTCATGCATTTGAAGATGACTGTGTTGTGCAAAGGCTTTACCACACTGATTACATTCATAGGGTTTCTCTCCAGTATGTGTTCTTTCATGTATTTGCAGATGACTGTGTTGTGCAAAGGCTTTACCACACTGATTACATTTATAGGGTTTCTCTCCAGTATGTATCATTTCATGCATTTGCAGATGACTGCGTTGTGTAAAGGCTTTACCACACTGATTGCATTCATAGGGTTTCTCTCCAGTATGTGTTCTTTCATGTATTTGCAGATGACTGTGTTGTGCAAAGGCTTTACCACACTGATTACATTCATAGGGTTTCTCTCCAGTATGAATTATTTTATGCCTTTGAAGAGTAATGTGAAGTGCAAAGACTTTGCCACACTGATTACACTTATAGGGCTTCTCTTCAGCATGTGTCCTTTCATGCATTTGCAGACGACTGTGTTGTGCAAAGGCTTTACCACACTGATTACATTCATAAGGTTTCTCTCCGGTATGTGTCATTTCATGCATTTTCAGATGACTGCGTTGTGCAAAGGCTTTACAACACTGATTGCATTCATAGGGTTTCTCTCCAGTGTGTGTTCTTTCATGTATGTGCAGGCGACTGAGGCGTGCAAAGGCTTTACCACACTGATTACATTTATAGGGTTTCTCTCCAGTATGTGTTCTTTCATGCATTTGCAGAAGACTAGAACGTGCAAAGGCTTTACCACACTGATTACATTCATAAGGTTTCTCTCCGGTATGTGTCATTTCATGCATTTTCAGATGACTACGTTGTGCAAAGGCTTTACAACACTGATTGCATTCATAGGGTTTCTCTCCAGTGTGTGTTCTTTCATGTATGTGCAGGCGACTGAGGCGTGCAAAGGCTTTACCACACTGATTACATTCATAGGGTTTCTCTCCAGTATGTGTTCTTTCATGCATTTGCAGAAGACTAGAACGTGCAAAGGCTTTACCACACTGATTACATTTATAGGGTTTCTCTCCAGTGTGTGTTCTTTCATGTATTTGCAGATGACTGTGTTGTGCAAAGGCTTTACCACACTGATTACATCTATAGGGTTTCTCTCCAGTATGTATCATTTCATGCAATTGCAGATGACTGCGTTGTGCAAAGGCTTTACCACACTGATTGCATTCATAGGGTTTCTCTCCAGTGTGTGTTCTTTCATGTATGTGCAGGCGACTGAGGCGTGCAAAGGCTTTACCACACTGATTACATTTATAGGGTTTCTCTCCAGTATGAGTTGTTTCATGCCTTTGAAGATGGGTGTCATATGCAAAGGCTTTAACACATTGAGTATATACTGAAGGTTTCTCTCCAGTTTGACTTCTTTCATTCCTGCAAGGATGATTGGCACATGTAAAAGCTTTATCACATTCAATGCATTGTTGAATTTTTATGTCTATATGAATTAATTTTACAGTTTGGTCTATTTGTAAAGAATCTTTGGGTTCTATCACTGTGTTTACACTCATGTTGTTCCCCTTCATTTAGGGTTGTTTTGCTCTTTGATGATACCTGTGGTGGTACGATCCTGTAGTACATGCTCACATTTACAGAATCTTTTTTCATATGAATTTTTTCATATATTTAAAGAGAACTGGAAAACTCAGAGCTTTACCAACCTTATTGCATTCGTAAGTTTTCCTATACTTTGAATCATACTACATTTGTTAAGTGAACTAAGACAAACAGAAGTGTTTACACAGTCCTAGTCCCCATAGGGCCTTCTGCAGTATGAGTTGGTTGATGTTTTAACAGTGGATCTGGACAACCAATTAATTCTACACTTGACTCAAATTAAACAAGTATACTCAATGTGGGGACTGAGGCATATCTTCTAATTGTTCTGAGAGAGACATGTTAACATTTTTCCATATCCCTGTAATCACATGGTTTGTAGAGTGACATATGATATTCCTAGTAAGAGAAGCATAACAAATGGTTTCCAATTTGAATTCACATTTGGAGTTTCTGTCCTCATAGATATGGATTAAGGTTTCTCCCCAACAACTGCCCATTGACTCTTAATTCTAACTGCCCCTCACTAAGCTTAGCACAGTCACAAAAAGCATATTAGTAATACTAGCTTTACTATGGACTATTTGCTTATTAGAAGGCTTTGGAGATTTACTTATCACCTCTTCAATGAATATACCTTTTGTAATATGAGTGGTATGAAATATATGGATTAAAGTTCTACAGCATAGCTCTCATGTTGCTATGATTCAAATGATATGTTAGGGCATTGTTTTCTTGTCTTCTTTCTTAAAAGAATGCCATGCAGCCAGGCGGTGGTGGCACACGCCTTTAATCCCAGCACTCGGGAGGCAGAGGCAGGCGGATCTCTGTGAGTTCAAGGCCAGGCTAGACCAACTGCCTCCAAAACAATACAGAGAAACCCTGTCTCGTAAAAACAAAGCAAAACAAAACAAAAAAAAAAGAATGCTATGCAAATGCAATTCACCTACCTGAAATTGAGGTATATCGTTTTGTGAGAATTTAATAATCATCAATGCACTTTAAGCTGTGCTTATTTATACTGTTGTTTTTGTTTAAAGCTTCCAGGACACATTAAAATTACTTCAGAAGCACATTTGTGTCATCTTGCACATAAAAATTACCTTTCATATCTTCTAGAACTTTGATAATATTCTTCGACATGATGGTCTTCCCAACTGTATCCTACAATGTAGTATCAGAAAATGTATGTTATATTATTGAAATTGTTCAAAATTTAAGTTACTATCTTCAGTGAACATTAGAGCCATGCCTAATTTATTCACTTCATTCTTCTTCTTTCCTCAATCAAATTTCAGAAGAACATCAACAACCAAGGAATAGATGCTCTTTATTTTAAAATGTGAAGGATAATTCAGTCTTACCTATTGTAGTAAGATTCCTGTAGGTCTCCAGCATCACATCTTCATAGAGTTTCTTCTGAGAAGGATCCATTAAAGTCCACTCTTCCCAAGTGAAGTCAATATGTACATCATCATAGGTCACCACATTCTAAAATATCCCATTCATGTGTAAAACAGAAAACATGATACTGACAACATTGTAAATTTATACTTCATTTCTTTGACAGTATAGTTATATAATTCTGGTGCTCCCCACACTTATTCGAATACATACACATTATAATGTAATCACAAAGTCAATTTAGAAGGAAACGTATAGGAGGTTCATCTCTGTCATTTCTGTACCCTTTGAATCGAATATCACCTTGGAAGAGAAATGCCTATTAACAAACACAGAAAGACAAGTAAATAGATCAACAGAACAAAGTACACATGAGAGAAATTATATGAACAATTACTAACTTAAAAAAAAAGATGGGCCGGGCAGTGGTGGCGCACGCCTTTAATCCCAGCACTCGGGAGGCAGAGGCAGGCGTATCTCTGTGAGTTCGAGGCCGGGCTGGACCGACAGCCTCCAAAACAATACAGAGAAACCCTGTCTCATAAAAACCAAAAAAAAAAAAAAGGGGGGGGCAAGCTGGGAGTATTGGTTCACACCTTCAACCCCAGCACACAGAAGGCAGAGGCAAATATATATACTTCTGAGTGGAATGTCAACCTAGTCTATGCAACCAGGTCAAGAACAGCAAATAGAACATATTGAGACCCTGTTTTCTGTGCAAAAAATTCAGTCAAACAAACCAAAAAGATAGAAAGCACTCAGAGGTTATAATACTGAAGTTACTACAAAGAATTATGCATTCAATCCAATTCTGTATTCATTTTCCAGAAACCCAAAATGCCCTAATTTAAAAGGAAACATCAATAAGATTTTACTAAAAGGTACTGTGTGTTTAAACAGTTACTAATGAACAGATGAAAACATTTACAATATAAAGGCTGATCACGAACGATCAACACAGGGCAGGAGAGATGGCTCATTAGTAAAGAGCTCTTGCTGGTCTTGCATATAGGTGAGCTCAATTACCAGTACTTACATGGGGGAATCACAACCATCCATTATTCCAAGGTTAGGATTTCTGAGACCATTTTTTGATCACTGTGAGGACCAGATACCCATGTAGTGTATATTCATGCATACAGGTAAAATAATAACATTCATTTAAAAATTCAAAACAAACACAACAGGAAAGAAGAAGGTCATGCACCTGCAATGACTCAGAAGACTCAGGCAGTATTAATGTAATGAATATAAACCATCCTAGGAAACAGAATGATACCCTCTACCAAATTTTAAAATTCAAGATATGGTGACAGTCACAAAAAGAAAAACATGGTATGCACTCACTCATATATGGATTTTAGACATGAGTCAGGGGAGTGCCAGCATACAATCCCACTGCCAGAGATTCTGGGAAAAAAAAAAAACCTTCATCACATTACTGATGGAAGCACAGACAGACACCCACAGCTAAACACTGAACTGAACTCCTGGAAACCAGTGACAGAAAGGGAGGACTGATGAGCAAAGGGATCAAGGCTGGGCTGGTTTAGCCCACAGAAAAAGCTGACCTGAACAAGGGGGAGGACCCTAGACTGATGGCTGGGAGGCCAGCATGGGACTGATCCAGACCTCCTGAATGTGGGTGTCAGTGAGGAGGCCTATGCAATCTATGGTGCCTTGGGTAGTATTTATCCCTGGCATACAAATGGACATTGGGTGCCCATCCCACAATGAGGGATGCTCTCTCAGCCTGGACTCTTGTGGGAGGGCCTAGGCCCTGCCCTGGATGAAATGACAGACTCTGGAGATCCCCCATGGAGGGCCTCACCCTCCCTGGGAATGGGAGTGGAGATTGGGTGGGGGGCTGGGGGGCATGGTAGAAGGGCAGGGGAGGAGGGGAGGGAAAGGGAGCTGAGATTGACATGTGAAACAAGCCTGTTTCTAACTTAAATAAAAAAGGAAGATTAAAAAAATAAAGAAGGGTATATACAATGGAGAAAGATAAAATCCCAGAGGAAAAAGATAGATGGGATAATTTAAGAAAAGCTGGCTAGAAACAAGCCAAGCTAAGGCTGGGCATTTATAAGAAAGAAAAAACCTCTGTGTGTGATTTATTTGAGAACTGGGTGGCAGGCTTCCAAAAGAGCAAAGAAAAGCAAAAACAAACAACAACAAAGAAAAACACAACACCAGGTTTTCTACTCACAGCTTCATGAAATGAACTCTCACAGTCTCCTCACTGCATCTCTGACTCTGCCAAACATAGAAGCATGCAGCAATGCTGAATTGTAGCCACAAACTAACAATCCATTACCTTACATTTTGATTCTTTCTTGTTTCCAGGACCGGTATATGATGGGTGATCCTACAAAGTTTGATTTTTTAATTGGAATGGACACTAACAGGCTTAGTCCACAGGTGCAGAAGGTTTTGTATGAAGTTGCTTCCTGGGACTAGCAATCACTTTATGGATTACTTCTATAAATTGCAGGTTTAGCTGGATTGAGTCTTACCCTTAGACCACCTTGCTAGGCCTCCATTCCATAGCAAGAGCCTTCTCTATAATGGTGATAAACTCCTTGAAGATTCCTGTCTGTTTCAGCACTTGATTGGCATCTGAAAATACCTTTTCATTTTATTCTGTTCCATTAGTTTTTGTTTTTTCACTGTAGACCTGAATGAATAACCATCCAACAGATTAAATATTCCACTTAAGAAATTAACACATTGTTTTTAAATTATGTCTTACTACATTTGCAGGGAATATGGAGAACAAAAAAGATTTTGGAGTCAAAAATCACACAAATGACTTATATTTAATTTTTTATGAAGACTATTTCCAACTGAAATCCTATGTCAATCTCTACTTTCTGCCATTACTCTCAACATTCCCATCTTCCTGGTCCTACAAGAAAATTAAATTCTGTGTACAACTTTCTGCAGTTTTTGCCAACCAAAGTCTTGATATATTCCATATTCTTCCAAATGACAACATTCCCAGGTTCTGCTTAGCTCCAAAATCACTTTTGGTGGTCAAGTTTTTGTTCTACCTTGTCTTTATGCTGCTGTGATTAAATCCTCTAACCACAAAACATCTCAGGCATTGAATGGGTTTATTTGACTCATCCTGTCAGATCACACAGCATCATTTTAGGAGTTTAGGATAGAAACAGAAGTTAACAATTAAAGGCAAAAACCACAGGCAACGATTGTTTCCTGACCTTCTCTCTTACCTAGTCATTGCTGTAAGAATTCAGGCACTGTGCTGGTCTGCCCACCACCACCTGGGAGAATGCACTCAGGCTGGACTCTGGTGAGCCCAGGTACAAAGGACCCCTTTAAAAGAATGATCCCCATCCTCTTCTGTTCTCTTTCTTGCTCTTCCCCTGGGGTATACAGGACTTTTCCTATCTCCCTCTTATCTTCAGCTATCTCTCTCTGTCTCTGTGTCTCTTTACCTCTTTTCTCTCCGCTCCTTTTATAATAAAACTTCTTAAGCTCTGCCAGGCCTGTTTGTCCCCCAACCTTGATCACACTTGCCTGCCATGGAATCCACTCTGGTTCCTCAAGCTTTATTCCTAACAATTGCCTCAACTCATATAGTTCCCCATTCCAGACCAGGCCCACTTTCTCCCCCCCCTCTTTTTTATGTAATTTTTTTCATTTTATATACCAACTCCAGTTCCCCCTCCCGCCCCTTCTGCCAGCCCCTCCTTGACCCTTCTAATCCCATCTATTCCTGACAGGGGGAAAGATCTCCCTTGGGTAGTCAACAAAGTCTGATATACCAAGCTGAGGCAGAACCAAGCCCCTCTGCCCTGTATCAAGGCTGGGCAAGGCCTCCCACCACAGGGAATAGACTCCAAAATGCTATTTTATGGGATAAGTTCTGGTACCACTGCCAGGTGCTCTCACAACAGATCAAACCACATACCTGTCACCCCATTCAGAGGGCCTAGTCTGGTCTCATGCAGGTTCCCCAGATGTCAGTCAAGAGTCTGTGAGCTCTATTTAGCTCGGGTCAACTGCCTCTGTGATTTCCAAATAAAGATCTCGACTCCCCCTTGCTAATATATTCCCTTCTCCCCCTCTTCAACTGAACTGAGGAGATCAGCCTAGTGCTTGGCTGTGGATCACTGCATCTGCTTCCATCAGTTACTGGAAATAGGTTCTATGATTGAAGGGGAAAGCCAGTTCAGGCACCCTCTCCACTATTGCTAGGAGTCTTGGTCATCCTTGTGGATTCCTGGGAATTTCCCTAGCCACAAGTTTCCCTGACCCCATGATGAGTCCCTCTGTTAAGGTATCCCTTTCACTGCTCTCCACCTCCACCCATTCCCCAACTCTATCATCTCAAGCCATCATGATCCATCTCCCATACCCTCCCTTCTAACACCCTCCTAGTTTACCCAGGACATCAATCTCCCCTTCCTGGGGCCTTCAATATATTCCTCTTAGGGTCCCCCTTTTTAACCTAGCTTCTCTGGGATTGTAGATTGTAGTATGCTAATACTTCAATTTGCATCTAATATCCAATCATAAGTGCATACATACCATATTGGTTCTACTGGGTCTAGGTTACCTCACTCAGGATGGGTTTTTTTCTAGTTTCATCAATTTCCCTGAAGATTTCACAATGTCGTGTCTTTTTCTTTTTCTGTTGTGTTTTCCCTCTCCATTGTGTAAATGCAACACATTTTCCCTCTTCATTCTTTGGTTGAGGGATATCTAGATTGTTTCCAGCTGAGAAAATGTCATTGTGGTATATGCCCAAGAGTGGTACTGCTTGGTCTTGAGGTGGATTGATTCCCAGTTTTCTGAGAAAATGCTATAGAGATTTCCAAAGTGACTGTACAAGTTTGCACTCCCACCAACAATGGAGGATGTACCCCTCACTGGACATTCTCTCCACCATGAACTATCATCAGTTTTTTTTTATCATAACCATTCTGATAGGTATAAGATGGTATCTCAGAGTTGTTTTGATTTGCATTTCCCTGATGGATGAAACGTTGATCGATTCCTCAAATGTCTTTCAGCCATTTGAGTTTCTTCTGTTGAGAATTCTCTCTCTAGATCTGTACCCCATTTTATAATTGGATTATTTGGTATTTTGGTGTCTAGTTTCATGAATTCTTTATATATTTTCGAGATCATCCCTCAGTCAGATGTGAGATTAGTGAAGATCTTTTCCCATCCTGTAGGCTGCCATTTTGTCTTATGGACAGCGCACTTTGCCTTACAGAGGCTTATAAGTTTCGGGAGGTCTCATTTATTAATTGTTGCTCTCAGTGTCTGTGGTAGTGGCGTTACGTTCAGGAAGTGGTCTCCTGTGCCCATGTGTTCAATGCTACTTCTAACTTTCTCTAATATCAGGTTCAGTGTAACTGAATTTATGTTGAGGTCTTTGATCCATTTTGGTTTGATTTTTGTGCATTTAGATAGATACGGATCTATTTGCAATTTTCTTCATGTCAGCATTTAGTTATTTGAGGACAATTTGTTGAAGAAGCTTTTATCCATTGTACAATTTTTGCTTCTGCCCCGTCCAGCAGGACAATCAGTGTAGGACTGGGGACACCTAACAGAGAGATAGGGGACAAGAGATACAAAGAACGAACAGCAAGACAAGACTCTGATCAAGTTGACAATCTTTATTTTTTCCAAAGGTGTTTATATAGGGCTGTAGGCAGGAAGTGAGGAGGGGAAGGAATAAGGGTGCTGACTGCAGCTGTGAGGAAGTTGGCGAGGTAAAAAGGGTCAATAGGAGGGATAGACCATCCTGTGTTGCATGGTAACCTAACCGCAAGGTCCAATTCTATCTTTTACAATCTACCGTCTATTGCTCAAGCCTATTGCCCGAGTAACTTGGTAATTTTCCACTAAGCTTAACCTTTAACTGACAGATAAGCCGCAAGCCTGTTTCTCAGGACTTGCTTCATATATTAAGAGGCGATATTTCTTCAGGGTGGCCTGGGATCACACCCTCCACATGGAGAAGACATGACAGGGCTAGAGATAGATGATGGCAGAGGTCCCTGACATGCTTCTTTGTAAAAACTGGGTGTTCACAGGTGTGTGGATTATTATCAGGGTCTTCAAGTTTATTCCATTAATCCACACGTCTATTTTTATGCCAATACCAAGCTGTTTTCCTTACTATAGCTTCATAGTAGAGCTTGAAGTCAGGGATAGTTGATGAAGAAGTCCTGTGTATATGTCAAAAAAGCACTGTTGGCCAATAGGGAAGCAAGATAGGTAGGACTAGGAGTCCAGGAGGACTCTGGGAAGGAGAGACACAGGGAGTCACCATGTAACTGCCATAGGGGAAGAAGTCCAGACCCTTTTCTCCAATAAGAGAAATACTTAGATTAACAATTATGGAGTAAATACTTAAGTCAGAGCTAGCCAGTAAGAAACAAGCAAGGCCAACAGGTTCATAATTAATACAGCATCTTGTGTGTTATTTGGGGACTACAACATGGCAGAGCCCAGGCGACTGGTGGGGAAAAACCAAAGCGGCTGGCAAGGAAAAGGCTTCACTCAACAGATAGTGATGCCTCCATAAGTTGCCTTATTGCACAGGATTTTTTTTGTGGCTCTCCTTGATTTTTTGATTTTGCATATAAAGTTGAGTATTATTCTTTCAAGGTCTGTGAAGAATTGTGCTGGGATTTTGATGGGAATTACATTGAATCTGTAGATTGCTTTTGGTAAGATTGCCAGTTTTACTATGTTGATCCTACCTACCCAAAAGCATGAGCAATCTTTCCATTTTCTGGTATCTTCTTTAATTTCTTTCTTCAAAGACTCAAAGTTCTTGTCATACAGGTCTTTCATTTGTTTGGTTAGAGTGACCCCAAAATATTTAATGTTGTTTGTGGCTAATGTAAAAGGTGATGTTTCTCCGATATCTTTCTCATCCCATTTATCATCTATGTATAAGGGGGATACTGAATTTTTTGAGTTAATCTTGTATCCTACCACTTTGCTGTAGGAGTTTCCTGATAGATTCTTTTAGGGTCACTTAAGTAAGCTGTCATATCATCTGCAAATAGTGAAAGCTTGACTTCTTCCTTTCCAATTTGTATCCCCTTGATCTCCTTTTGCTGTCTTATTACTCTAGCTAGAACCTCAAGTACAATATTGAGTAGACATGGACAGCGTGGACAGCCTTATCTTCTTCCTGATTGTAGTGGTATCTATTTGAGTTTCTCTTCATTTAGATTGATGCTGGCTGTTGGCTTGCTCTATATTCCATTTTTAGTTTTGGTATGTTCCTTGTGATCAACCAATGATTGGTCTAACTTGAAGCCCAAGCTATGAGACAAAGCCCATGCCTGACACTGTCTGGATGGTCAGGAACTGGAACTTGGATGCCTCAGAGAACTAGGGTAGGACCAAATACAATTGATCAAGAAAATCAATTAAATGACTCATGTCCCGCGCTACCGTCTCGCCAGCAAGAACGACGCAGAACACTCGGATCCTTCTGCAGTAAAGTTTTAATGCATCTTGAGAGATAGATGATCAGCTTCTTAGAGGGAGACCCCAAGCTAAGAAACCCAGCCCCTTATATAAGCCTAGGAGCTCCGAGTGAGATGTGTAGAGCCGGGATTGGTGGTTTGCACATCACCCCAGATGACGTCACGGGAGAGGCACAGTTTAAACGGTTAACTCCAACTGACAGCGACAGTTAACTCTAACTGACAGCGACAGTTAACTCCAACTGACAGCGACAGTTAACTCCAACTGACAGCGACAGTTAACTCCAACTGACAGCGACAGTTAACTCCAACTGACAGCGACAGTTAACTCCAACTGACAGTGGATGTCAGCGCCATCTTCTAACGGCAATAGCGATAGCGAGGGCGGCTCCTCACATCTCCCCTATTCATTTATTTTTGAAGCAATAGGACACCCACAACTTTGGAGTGGAGATAGAGGTCAAATCCCCATGTGCAAATTCGGAACATGTACAAAGCTCCTCTCCAGGGTCTTATCCCCAGAGGAAGTCCTGACCAGTCCGATGTCTTTTTTCTGGGGAAGGAGATCATGACATAGAACCTTCATGCAAGATGACTTATCTCCCAGGAGAAAGTCGTTATACCGCAGACCTCTCCTGTGCAGTGCTTAGCCTTGCAACTCCTTGGGCTGCTGAAGCCTACCCACTCTATCCCGTGCAATGAGACTAGCCTCGTGGGGTGCAAGAGCTGGGAGGCCAGCGACCTATTGCTTTAACATGGTTAACCAAATGTCAGGGGATGCTCCGTGTTCTAAGGCAGCAAGTGCTTGTGCCACCACCACTTTCTCCTTTTGTTTGGGCTCTGAGCGTACACACCATCCAAAGCATCAACACTATTCCACAGCAGAGAACTAGGCTAAATGATCCTACCCCCACCCATTCCTTAAAATAAGAAAATGCAGATGAAATCCAGGAGGAGAGGTCTTCCATCAGAGAAAGATCCAGATGCGTCGAATTCACTTGCAGGATCGCCATTCTCAACTCACGGAGTGTCTGCTCAAACTCAAAAGTCCAATTCTGTAATAAATGTTGAGACAGAGCTTTTGACAGGTTAGCTGCTCTTGTAAAATTCTCATATTGTACTAAGTGACACAAAGGCCAGGCAACTTTGTTCACATCCCAATTTGGCCATCTGCCACAATA